TGTTGGGATTTGTATGCAAGAACTGACTCTATTCTACTGCATGGGTTTTGTGCAGTATTGTGAAGGCGTGTCTCCAAGTCTGTAACCGTCAGGTGAAGACAGCTTGGGCGCCTGTGTTTTGGATCTAATGATCACTCTGTGTTGTATCTACCCAAACTGCGCCACCACTGCCAACTACACAACAAACAGCAACTACAATTCTGTTGTCAGTCTGAACTACTGCTTCTGCTGTACTCTACTCTAGACCACTGTAGATCACAGCCAGCGTTGACTTCGGCAACATGGAACAGGTGCGAGGGCGCACAGCACAGGTGAGATAGAGCACAGCAGTACGTACGCACACCAGGAGGACGCCCCGTATCTTTGAAAATTCGGCCGCACATCAGAACTCCGCAAGATATTGACATGCCATCGCGGTTTTGGCACACGAGCTCGCACACTGCAGCTTCTACTGATACCACTCTAGTCTAGACTAGACTAGTCAACAAGTACATCCTCACCTGTCTCGTCCGTGTTGTGGTGGCCGGCCTCCGGCTTGTGCTCATCGAGGAGAGCTGCCCACTTCTTGTAGAACTCGGCGATGCGAGGCTCCTTGTCCTCGGTGATTCTGTTTGGCTCGTAGATGCGAGTTGTGCGCTTGGACACCCGTGGGTGCCTCTTGAGGAAGCCAGCTAGCCAGTCCTTCCCCGGNGTGGCCGGCCTCCGGCTTGTGCTCATCGAGGAGAGCTGCCCACTTCTTGTAGAACTCGGCGATGCGAGGCTCCTTGTCCTCGGTGATTCTGTTTGGCTCGTAGATGCGAGTTGTGCGCTTGGACACCCGTGGGTGCCTCTTGAGGAAGCCAGCTAGCCAGTCCTTCCCCGGACCCTTCTATGGATCCCAAGGGATCTGGCGACCGTCGTTGCACAGCTGTCTAACGGTTTCCAGCAATTGCAGCCGACCCACAGCCAAGTAGTGACGACCGGCGTACAGCAGAACATCTTCAAGAGAATTTTCCTCTTCTTCGCTCAGGACATTCGCGGGACCAACTTTTGCTTTCATGGCCACCGCGCCATCGAGGCGGCTCTTAATCGACCATCTATCTAGCTCAAACAGCCTATAATAGAGGCCTCTCGGATCTTCATGCCACTCTAACTGCTTCACATGCCTTCCGAGCTTGCTCTGGGTCCACCTGGCGGCGGCCCATGCTTATCAACAAAACCAGCAAAAGACCGACGATGGCCCGCGTCGGCGGTGGGTGGTGGTGGTGCTGCTGTATCTCGTCGCTGGATGCTCTGATTGCGACGCTGAAGTGCTCAAGCGAAAACTCGGGTCTCTCCCAGTGCTGCACGACTGAAAAAAAACACAAGTACGCTGAATAACGCTTCCAACGGGAAAGTAGCCCCTTGTGGAAACTTCTCTGATCAGGCGGCTCGCTTGGCAACAGACCTCCACACCTAGCACCGGCTCTTGAGGGCGAACGAGAGCATAAACTGTCCAGACTTAAAAGAGGTATGTAAATAAGATGCCAGGGCACGCCAGGGTATGTTTTATATGTCCAGTTGCGCACGGTATGGTGAAAAAGTTGGACTTTAGCTAGAAGAGCGTACCACCATCCAGCAGCTCCAAAATCAGGGAGCGAGCTTCACACGCGACCCGACCTCTGCGCGAGGTAGTTGTATTGCAGCCTAACTATGCTGCCGCCTTATACTTAGGTTGTGTTTCCACCTAATGCAAAAGGTTCGAGGCGATTTGGTGCGGCAGGGGATAAGCATGGTGTGTCCAAAATTCAAATTTCAGGAGAGTCCACGTCTTGGGTCCGAACTCAGCCCTCTTACACGTTGCGCATGTACATCCATCCATTGCATCCACCATTCACACCCAAGATACGATGGAAATGCTCGATGCAGTAATTCCAGCTCAGGGTCAGCCAATCACTACGAGTTTCAGTCGAATTGGGCTTTCAAGAGGGCAAGTACGATTTCTTCGAGTGCAATTATTACGCTCGGTGCTTTGCCGATATACGAGCCGAACATGACTCGGGGCGCTTAGCTGCAGACACTCCAGTCCGTGCATAAAGATTTAAACGCCGCAGCATCATAGGGTCAGGTAGATAAACTACGTATTTGAACAGGTTTCAGTCCGTTGCGTTCTCAGGTGCATAGGCGCGCCTGTAAAGAGGATCAGATCTTATGCATGGGTTAGAAGGGGCACCGAAGATCCCACCCCACGAATAAGCGTGCGCCTGGCTTAGCTGTACGTTCAAGAGGAACATGTTGTTTTTGTAACTCTGGTCAGGTTTCGAATGCATGGACAAACAGCCGGCATAGGTCGAGCTGCTGCCAGATGAATCGTCAGAGACGTAGGGTGGGCCAGCAGGCTTGTGAGGTGAACAGCCCCACAGCTCTACCAGGTACGCCACCGGCGATGCCTCGGAACCAGTATGGGAGCCCTTCTACACCCGGAAGTGGGGGTATGCAGCTGATACTAACCCTTCGACAGCTCACGGAAGGCGCGCTATCCCCGCGTCAGCCAGTGGTCGACGACACAGGAGGAGACTCCACAAGTGAACGTCCACGGAGCGGGAGCAGGAGACAGGGTAACCTAACCACCGAGGCGCACACCCCCGTCGCCGCGACAAAGCGCGACGCGGGAGATTCCGGTGCACGTGTCCGTCGAACGGGAGGAAAGACCCGGTCGGGCAGGAAACGGAGGAGGAAGAGGAGACCCTCTGNTCGGTGCACGTGCCCGTCGAACGGGAGGAATGACCCGGTCGGGCAGGAAACGGAGGAGGAAGAGCCAACGCCCAGACTACTTCCTAGCTATTTTCGCCGAGAAAGAAAGGAAGGCAGAGTTTCGCCAATGCAGTAAATGCAAGTACCGGAAATCGGACAGGAGCCGCGTAAGGTGGTATCCCATGGATGCTGCAGGAGATCATGTCGCGGAGGGTAATGCGATGGTGAGTGATGGTGATTGGTGGTGCGGCCGTTGCTACCAGAGCCGGTTGAACGGCATGAAGAGAGACGACAAACCGACAGAGGAACAAGCGGGGGACGAGGCGCNGTATCCCGTGGATGCTGCAGGAGATCATGTCGCGGAGGGTATTGCGATGGTGAGCGATGGTGATTGGTGGTGCGGCCATTGCTACCAGAGCCGGTTGAACGGCATGAAGAGAGACGACAAACCGACAGAGTATCCAGCGAACAGGTCATGTGGATCGGGGGACGAGGCGCCGACGCTTCTAGAGCCTTCGAGCACGGTGCGCAGGATGATGGATGACGTCCTCGGTCGAGGTGAGATCCTTTGCTGGCAGAACGTCGCCGGTTGGCTAGCTGCTGAACGCGCGAAGGTTGGCATGGGGGAGATAACGGGGAAGTACGCACGACAACTCGTCCTGGACTTGTTTACCGGGATGGACGCAGACCCCGGGAGCAAATCACGATTGGTCCGAGACGACGAAGCGCAAGGAGACGCACGCGAGCGGGAACTCTTCCACTTCCCAAACACCCTTGGGGACAAGCATCTCGTTGGCCTAATGCTGCGTGCTCGACGTAGTGCACCCGCACAGCCACCATCCAATCAGCCAGCTGATAAGGGTGGGTCTCTCGAGTCGATTCTGAAGGAAGTTGAGAAGGACACGGAGGACGCAGACGCACGGATGTCCGTCGTGCGGGCAGTTGGTAAAATTGTTCGAGCCGACGTGGAGAGTGACCCTGCCCTGAAGAACACCACCGGCACACGCGAGCAGTATTGCTACGCCGATGAGTTGGACATGAAAAAAGTGAAGCCACCCAGAGAGACTCTACTATCCGCGTTTCCCCCGTCCTTGGTTGGGTTGTACCAAAGCATGACGGACATGGCACTGTATCGCTAGCGTGTGGTTGCAATCCGGACACGGCCCTGTGCAACAGGTGCAGGTGCAACAACAAGAAGTGCTCGCTCGCTTGCGGCTGCAGAAATCGTTGCACCCTACGGCGGGCGGTGCCGGCACCCGTGCGAGCAGGGGGGAGGTCTGCGTCACGGCCTACGGTGGGTGCTCCTCAAACGAGGATGGTAGAGGGTACCTCCCGACCCCAACCGCCCACCGAGAGTCGATCACGGCCATCCTGCAGTGTTGCCAATGCCATGGCACTCTTTGCCGCCTCTATGAAGCAGCAGGTATCGCACGGAGCGGAACAGAAAGACGTGGAGGCGGGAACCCCCGAGTCGCCTGCGAGCAACGACGTTTCCGCCGGCGAGGCCGCGGAATCAAAGAACGCAGAGTTGGAGGACCCCGAGTCGCACGAGAAGTGCGACGGTTCGGTCGGTGCACTTGACGATTTGATCAAGTTTGACTCGAGCGAATCTGGCTCCAGCGATGGGGAATCTGACGGGGTGAGCGAGAAGAGCGTCGACTCCAACTGGATTGGCGGAGACAGATGATGGTGTTGCGGATCTCGTAACCGACGCCTGGAACTGAGATCTGGCTACTTCTTCAGGCAGGTACATATATCATTCCTTGGGATTAGGGTTGGGGATTTCGGGCCCGCCATTATTGCACGTCAGATCTCCACGTCGTACCGAAAGATCGTGTGCTCTGAGTTATGCTTCCTCCATGTTTCAATGACATACTTCGCGCGTCCTTGTTGATGGTTGAACCGGTCCGTCCGTGCTTCACTTCCGTTGGATGCATCCATCCACGAAATACGANTTGGCGGAGACAGATGATGGTGTTGCGGATCTCGTAACCGACGCCTGGAACTGAGATCTGGCTACTTCTTCAGGCA